ATTCAAATGTAACTCAGGTTTATTTATCTCAGAATATATCTCGTTAATAATCTCAAGAAGTGCAGGTTCAAATGATGCAAAGAAATAACAAGCTTGGCAGGGAGTTTACAAAATACTTGATAACAACTAAACCTGATGTTAACAATTTTTGGAATCTAGTATTTAAATTCAGGAATTGTTAAGCTAAATGGCTATATTGACAGTGAGTGGAAAACAAGTATTTAAATTGTTATGGGCAGTTTTTTTCTTCTTGAAAAGAAGCCAAATTAACCTGCTGAGAAAATCATTTTTAGGGTAGATAAACTAGTACAGATTGGCATAAACATTCAAGAAGCCAATCTAAAATCAAAAGTGATTTTCCACCATTTGACCCCTGTGACAGTGATTTATGCTACCCATGCACTGTTTCTGCAAAGCATGTGAATGCAACATTTTACCAGTCTTCAACTCAATTACACAGACTGATCAAACCCTCACCGTTGTCCACTTTCTGCTAACAATTCAAAACTCAGTCGAATCATGAAGTTTTTATAAACGAAACTCATTCTAATAAAATTCTATTTATACTAAATTCCTTTAATAATAAAATATTTAAATATCATTTATTATTTTATTTTGCAAATCTCATTTACGTCTTCGCATTGCAGGTAAATATTATTAAGATATTATTGGTTACAAAATTAATAAATAAAATAATTACTGAAATTCACATTAGATGTATCAATGAATAATGAGATAATTACACCAAATAACATTGACACTGATCAAAAACATTTAAGACCATAAACTTGTAAATTTTTAATCTTTTATATTTATATTCAACATTTTACCAACTTATTGAGACTATGTTGCAACGTGAACACTAATTGTTGCACAACATTATAGAAATATTTAAATCAGTCTTGCTTTGTTAAGGAAAACAAAGGATGGATAAGGATGTGAAAAACCTTCTTTTTTTTCTTTTCCTCTTCATGTTTGATTCCAAATTCCCACTGTAATTTCTATTTTCCTTAGGTTTGTAAATTTCTTGTAGTGAATTTAAGGTTGGACAAAATACGTGAAATGATCGTATGATCGAATTGATAATTGGCTCATGAGTGATCACATGTCACGGTCCAATGAAGTCTTTCAATGATATAAAAGAAGAGAAATGATATTACGATACATTTTTATATTCATTTAACACATAATATAAAGATAAAATTGTTATAAAAGTATAAAATTTTGATTTTTTTCATGAAAGTGAATTCTAACGGAAGTAGTGAGTATATTTGTTTTAACAATCCAAAACTAAAGTAAACTTAACTAACTAATAATAATATATAAATATTAAGTTTGTACATACCTCGTCTAATAAATGATGCGGCTTAATTAGGTTTATTAGACTTTATTGATTCAAAGTAATTCAAAGATATATTAAAATATATTTCTTATTGTAAATATTTAATATAATAATCAAATATTATAAATTTGATCAAAATATGTCTTAATACTTATATTTGCATAATATTTGATATATCAAATAAGATATTTAATTCGATATTATTTATTTTTATTTCATGAGTTATAAGGTTCATAAACCTTATAAATTATACATGTTATTTAAGTAGCAAATACACACAATTTTTCTTATACTTTTTTCCATATGCATATAAATTCTGAAGCTCTTTCAATTACTTGAATGTCAGCGTGGATCATCTTATTTGAACAACGAAATATCAAAAATATTAAATCATTATTAAAATATTCTGACCTATCCACTCTCTGAATCTTGATAAAAAAAATTTTTAAAAAAAATAAGTTATTTAAATTGAAAATAAACATAAAAAAAAAAGTTGACATTTCATTTCTATGGAAAACATTGATACCATATAATATTAACAAATTTAACCTTCTAAGAATAAGAATATTTTTACAAAATGAAAATTTTTATCAATTCATCCATTGAAAATTTACATAAAACTAATCAAACTTACGAAATTTCATTTAGTTTTTTTGTTTAATTAATACTGAATCATATATCTTTTGTACAATAAAGTACACATCCATGGCTAGTAACTGTGTTGTCTAAAAGTTGGTAGATCATCATAATAATATCATGAAAATAGATAATGGAGTTGATAAATTTTATCAATTATTAACTGTGTCAATTTTTGATAACCTATCCTATGTTCAGGATAATTGAACTATCTTTCCTTTTTTCCGTTGTCCTGCTTTCAAAGGCAAAATCAACATACAAGAGATAAGAGAAAATCAATTGGATTTCAAGCGTAAAAAGAAAAACATTATGTACACACAGTTTAATTTCATAGCTAAAGTCAACCTCTATTGATTAGGTCATTATTAACCTAGAAGCCACCTTCATATGTAGGTAAGTATATTGGGCTTACCAATGATTGTGATTACATTTTTTTTTTTTATGTGGCGATAAGATTGATAGAAGCGTTAACTTATTGATAAATATTTATAATAGATTGAACAAATGAGTAAAATTATTCAAAATTTTCAACAAATTATTTCTACATCTCAATTAAAAAAACTAGATAAGAATTCTTGATAAATTGAGATTTATAAGTTAACTTTAGTTAGAGAGAGAAATTGAATCATGCATTACTGACGTATGTTTTAATTAAAATTTATTTGTCTCTCCAATTATTTATAATTTAATCTCAAAATTTAAAATATCAATAAATGTAATTTTTTAATCTAATTATATTAACTTTTTTCAAGTATAAAAGTTTACTCATTAGTGAAAAAAATAATTTTTATAATGATTTATTATGATAAGTGAAATTCACCTGTCATAATAAGTTAAACGGTAACATTTTCATAATAAAAGTAACATGTATTATAACAAAATTAAATTATAATAAAAACTTATTATGATAGATTTGAAAAGACTTGTTATAGTAGTTTTTTTATTATGACACTTAGTTCACCACCTGTCATAATATATTGGACGTTGTAACAAAATTGAAATTATATTCAAAACATATCATGACAGATCTAGTAATATTTGTGATAATAATTCTTTATTATGATTGTTGTTAAATCATATGTTATAGTAGGTCTCAATCTCAATTCCTAATTTTACCAAGCATCTCTTTTCTTCTGTTTTTTCACACATCATCCTCTCTTCTTCTCTCCACTCACTCTCTTCTCTTCGTTCACGCTTCCAAACTTCTTTGTTCATGCATCATTTCACAACCCATTACATCCTCGTCATTGCCTTTGCACATGGTTGTCTCTCCTTGTCATTGTCTCTGCACATGGTTGTTTCTCCTAGCCATCACCTCTATACGTGGTTGCCTATCGATAGAAGTTGTCATCTCTGACCAAAGACGATGTTTTCTCCGGTTCGGATAATAAGTTTTATTTTTTTCCCTCTACTTAAGTCTTTGATATTTTGTGTTTGAGATTCATTGGTTGAATTTCAACTAACTCACCCTCCACCATTTAGGGTTAGGGATTTCAACAATTAGATGTTACAATACTGAATTACAATACTGAATTACAATTAGATGTTTGAGATTCATTATGTTTTTTTATATATTTAATGATTCATCCATTGAAAGAGATGAAAGAAATTAAAACCAAGTGAACTTATTTTGTTTTAAATCTTAGTAACTTGCATTAATATCTTGACAATTTAATATTTTATAATCTTTTGAATAATATTTGTAACAATTGTAAAGATTATATATAGATTCATATAAATACAATGTAATGTTTTAAATATTATTAAACAATTTATCATGTGAAATAATTTGCATGCTGAATTTGTTGAAATTTCTAAGTAAATTAAATGGATAAAACAGTAAAATAGAAGAAAAAAAGTTAAAAAAAGAAACTTTAAAAAAATCCATTTTCTTTTTTACACTAATGACTTTTAAATTGTTTATATTATTTGTACATTTTATTTCAAATATTAATTGAAAATATTATTTTTTACATTATTTGTCACATATTTGATTTAAAATACCAATTAAAAATATTAAAGTTTATAATATGAATTATATTTAGAAACTAGAAGCATATATTAACATTCTTTTTGTTTTTATATAAGTATTCGAGTGGTAATATTAAAGTTAATAAAGGAGAGTAACAACTGGTAAAAGAAAATATTACAGGGCATTTAATATATAATGATGAGCAGCTGGAACGAACTGAAAGCGGAAGCACATTATGAGAAGAGTTAGAAAAGAATATGTACCATTGATGTCGAAAGTCAATGTAAAAAATGTGGTTTGGGATTTGTTAGAGGGAAGACATCTGTAAAGGCAGAAAACAAAGAATTTGAATGAGCTGGAGGGGATCGATTCTTAATTCAGTCCATGGGCACACACACATCATGAACATTGTAAATCATGCTGTATAATTATTTATATTTATACGTTGCATGCTGCGACATGTTTAAACATATCCTATTAAAACTCTTGCAATTCTTTACGTCACTCGCACATTATGGTCAACATTCTCTCCACAACTAACTTAGATGCACATATTATGTCTATAAACAAACAACAATATGCCATTTTAAATACCACTTCCCAACTTTTCATCACATTCATTAAATGGTAAAAGATTGACTCTGTTCACATCCTATATTAAATAATTCATCAATGCAAGAAAGTCACTATGCTGTTTTTTCTTTGTTCCCAACGTTGAGGCAGAACATAGTAAAAAACTACACTCTAATTACGTACTGCTCTTTAATTAGGTGAATCATGAGTTGTAAACTTGACCTTTTTTTCTCAGTTTCCCGTTACAAAACCTCTACCTTTAAATAAAGTATAACATGTTTTGGAATACATTTTTCAAATAAATGGCCGTAATTACATGTTTCCGTGTTAACTGATAATTTGGATTTATGCAGAATATGTCTGACTTTATGTACTTGGGATGCATAAACAAATCAAAACTCATTCGGGTTGGAATGAATACCGTAGTAATCTTTCTTTTGACGTCTCTAATGTGCGATGGAGAAGGAAGAAAAGATGTTAAGCAACGAATCTTCTTCATTTAGAATTCTCCCACAGTCTCCAGAAAGCTTTCTACAAGAGGAATTAGAGAACCAACTTGAGCTTTTAAAACTAATAAAAATAGGACCGCACTTTTATTTTTACTTATTTTCAAAAGAAAAATTCAAACGACGCCGTCTCATGCTGTTTATGATGGTTCCTGCTGCTTTTACCCTTCGCGGGGTAGAGCGACGTCGTTTTGGACCTTCTCGAGCTAGGCACTAGGGGCGGCGTCTGCATGCGAATCAGCGCCAGGTTGAGCCCTTTGAAGAAGGGATGCTTCTTGACGTCAGCGGCGCCACGCTTCGACCCGAGTCGACGCGCCGGGTCTTTGTTCAGCAAGCCGGATATCAAATCTCGCGCGTGGAGTTCAAGACAGCTCGCGGGCGTGGCAGTGGGGAACGCCAGGGGCTTCTTCACTATGTTCCGTAGCGTAGCCTGCTTCGATGGACCTGCGTACGGCGTGCGACCGTATATAAGCTCGTAGATAAATACTCCAAACGACCACCAGTCAACGGCGTTACCGTGCGACCTGCCGGAGGCAACCTCTGGCGAGACGTACTCGTGGGTTCCGACGAAGGAGCAGGAGCGGGCCGAAACCGGTTCGGCTACAAAGAGGCGGTTCGGTTCGACGACTCGCATGTCACGAGACCGGAAACCCCGGTTCGAGAAGCAGGAGAATGGACTGATAAAAGAATGCGAGCGAGTGGGAGGGGGAGTGTAACTGTGAGTGTAAGTGTGAGGTATTAAGGGATCTGAGGATTCAACGGCTGGGATTGCATCCGAGCAAAGAGAGAGATCGAAATCAGAAAGCATGATGTGACCGTCCGATCTCACCAGCACGTTTTCGGGCTTTAAATCTCTGTATATGATTCCCAGCATGTGTAAATACTCCAACGCCACCAGCACCTCCGCAGCATAAAATCTGAGACAAAAAACGATCGAGTCGTTAGGGTTTTTACAAGAGAGAAAAAGTCATCGTTTAGGATAACGGTTTTTCATATTTACCTAGCGGAGGAGAGAGGTAGACGGTTGTGAGGGTGCTTGAAGCGCAGCGAGTGAAGGTCTCCGCCGGAGCAAAACTCCATCACGATGCAAGAGAAATGAGAGGCTTCGAACTCCGCGTAGAGAGTAGGAAGGAACGGGTGGTCCAGCATCTTCAGGATTTTTCTCTCCATTTCCGCTCTCTGCGACTTCTTCTTCAATGCCACTGCGTCTTTGTCCACCACCTTCATCGCGTACAAACAGCACTCTTCATCCTCCTCGTCCTCTACGGGGCTGTTGAATTGCCGGTTTCGGAGGCGACAGAGGTAGACGGTACCGATGTCGCCGGAGCCGATGCGACGGAGGAGGTGGAAGTCGCGGAAGGTGAGGGCGGCCTTGCGGCAGAAGGCGGCAAAGCGAATGGCCGAGTAGGCGAAGTCGGAGGAGCGATGAGGCTTAAGGGAGAGACTCTCCGGCGAGGGCGGGAGGAGATCGAAGGAAAGACGGCTGAAACTGGTACTGCAAATGCTCTCGCTGCTCATGGAGCTTCCAAGCATGGAAGAATTGAGAGTCTCGAAACTGGCCTCGGAATGACGTTCAGCACCACCAGGCTCTAGCATGGTAGTGGTTTGAACAGGAAAAGAGAAAAGAAGGTTGGAAATTGAAATGGGAACTGTAGAGTGAATGAAAGTATAGGGAGTGATGCAGTCCAGATAGGCTTTATGAAAGATTATAGTTTAGCAAGCAAGGAAGCCAGTGAGCACAAAAAAACATTGAAAGAATATTAAAAGTGGGATGGTACGAATGGTTTGAGAGAGCAATAAGAGAGGAGGAACAGGTTGGGCCAGAAATAGAGAGTGGTGTTAAAGAAAGGAGGCGATACAGGAGAAGAAGGTAGTTGTGTTGTATTTATGCTGAACACGTAAGAAGGAGGCGAGCTAACACAGCAGGGCACGTGAGAGAGGGGAGTTCTGGCACGTGCGGGGTGTTGGTGTTTGTGACGTGGCAGGGATTTGTTTGGAGCATTGGTTAAGCTTACTGAGCAATCACTAATGAGCGTGTGGTGGTGCAGTGTGGTTAAAGAGGCTTTTACAGTCATTTCTGCAATGACGGAATTACCCTTCTGTTCATCTAACCATGCAGTGCAACGGTCAACCCTATTTATGACCAGACACAGACCATCCTGTTCCGTCCACGTCGCTTGCCTTATCTTTCACCCTATATATGCTTTTTACCATAAATATATTAAACACCTTTCCCTCACGCAAAATAATAACAACCCAATTACATTTTTTCTTTCCAACACCTTAAATACATATTTTCTAACATCATTAACCATGATAATAACTAACTCAAAATTTTATTAAAAACAATTTCTTTTGATTAAATCGAAAGAAATTAAATAAGTAATAATTATTTATCCACTTCATAAAATAGTGTTTTGAATAAGTTTGTTAGGTGTAACTCTCACTCCCGAAAAAGTTATGGCATCCTTAACAGTTCTACTGTTAAATTTGGAACTGCGCGAATCCCTAGCATAAAAATAAATGCTAGCACCAATTAGTACAAAGTAAAAATATAAGGTAAAACGTAAGATCTGAAACTACATCACCACAGTGCACTTCTTTTTTAACAGACTTATCTTGTTACTGGTGAAAAATTATTGATTTTTATTTATTTATAACTTAATGCATGATTCATTTATTTTTAAATTTCATGATTTTTTTTTTAAATCTAAGTTTATATGATATTTTGAGCAGTTCAATATATTTTAATTTCTTATCGTTTTTTAATGAATATGTTTTGAAGAGAAAAATCAATTTCCATACTTTGTGGTTATCTATATAAGGTAATAAACTAAAAAAAGAAAAACAGGAAGAAATTTATTGTAATAAGTGACTTATCAAAAACCAGAAATCTGGTTTTGGAATGAAAGTAGCTTTTGGCGTCCACACAGAGTCATTTCAAATGAAAAGAAAGCTGAAAGAATGACAATATAATGCCTGTAGACGCAGAGACACACACAGGGTTTCTTCAACAAAAATCTTATCAATAAAAAATATTATTTTAATATCAAATATAAAATTCTCTAATCACTTTTCTTTTATTTCAAAATATTTAAACTAACAAAAAGTCCAATAATGATGTGGCATTTTCTGTTGACTAATATAAGAGGCTTATGAAAGTATTGCATGAAAAATAATAATATAGTAATAGATGCAACATCCACATCATCTTATTATTTATTTTTTTTCTAATGTTTCTCTTAAATTAAAATGCTCGTATTATTTATTTATATCATAAGGGGAAAACTATTATATAAAAAGTAAAATAACTACAAAAAGAAGACATGTTTATAATGATTTGATGTGATATGAAAATGATGTAATAGGTAAAAACAAAAAAGGTGTAACTATCAGAGTTAATTTTATTCAGAAAAAATTCAAAAGCTACTGCTGAGGTGAGAGAAGTATTCTGTATAGAGGATAGGGAACAGTGTGACTAATGATGGCAATTAAATGTTCACCTTCACCCTGTTTTTTTTTATAAAAAAAATAAAAAACTAAGGCTTGAAATATAAATTATGTAAATTTTGTTTCTTTTTTATGTAGTGTTTATGAAATTTGCAAGAGAGGACACTGTGGAGAGTGAAAAATTGGTCCATGCATGCAGTGTGGTTGATGGGAGATAACATATAAGTGGGTCCTCAAAGAAAGGAATAATTCCCCAAAATCCCCACATGATATTTGTATTATTTGATGTTCATTCTCTCACAATTGTTGAATTTTAGATTTATTTGAGAAGAAAAATGGTGAAAGGGACCCATAATTGTTGGGTGGGAAATGGTGTTTTGGGAAAGAACAACAAAAAGTGTCTCAAAAGGAATTGTTGATGCCTTAGAGGGACCAAGGTTTTCCCAAAAAGGGAAACCCAAATACACATCACTATTCATCATTTTTTTTTTCTTTTAATTTTCATGACAAATTTTAAAAGATAAATAATGATAGGACATACACATTTACATTCATTTTAGATATATATTACAAAAATAAAATTATTTCATTTTATTTTTTCAAATACAAAAATAATTAAAAAAAAATTGTATATCAAACTATCAAGTTTCATCATCACCATGTTAAAATATACATATTTTATAATAAGTAATAATTATTATTATTATACCTAGTTTATCTAGGTTAAACACAAATTAAAATTAATCTATATATTTTTTAAAAAAATTGGATATTTTTTTATTTATAGAGTCGAGATAAAGTCTTCTTATTCCTAAATCTCTTTTTACCGTTGGATCTATTAAATGTTATTGGTAGAAAATACTCTTATACTTTAAGTTAATGTTTGTTTGAATAATTTTATAATAAATATACAGTAAAAGTCAATTAGTATGAAACATATATTTATAAATTTTTGTAATAAATTTATAATTAAAAATGATCAAATTACAACTTATTTAAGTTTAACTTGATTTCTTCTAATAATTAATCTTATTTATTATCCACGACCGATTGAACATTTTATAGTAGTTATCGATCTCATAATTTTTAAAAGTTTGAGTTGAATATAAGAAGAATGTGGCATAAATGGTTTTAATGGAAAAGTAATATAGAAGTGCTTAAGTTGCAGAAAAGGGGCCAATAATAATTAATTAGCTTGGTGGCACCGAGCATACTCTAGCCAAAGCAGAATAAGAATAATGATGAAGTGATAGAAGATAGTAACAAAAATGAAACTATGGTGTATATTAAAATCATGGATTTTCACGTGCCAGATAACTGTACACAATTATAATGAATGAGCCACCAAATTCATACTAATCTCACTCCAAAGAAATTTTAAATTTGTGGGCCAAATTCAACTCATTCATTATTTTCTACTTTGCTGTCTTCGCAAGCAACTATCATATTTTTAGGTAGAACTATGCAATATTTCATTTTCTAACTTTTTTAAATATATATATATTTGTGTAAATGATATTTTTAATATCAGTATATACTTTGCTGAAAAAGATGGGAAAAATCGACAAGAAAATGTTTGTTTCCAGAGTGTTTTTGTTTGCTTTAATTTAATATATAAAATTGATTAAAAACTGTTTGTATTTCGATTATAAAACTTTTAAAATACATGGCAAAATATTATGGTTGAACATTTCAATTAATACAAAATTAGCATTACCCAGATAAAATAATCAAATTAAGTATTTTAAGCTGTGCAATGTGTAAGATATAACATTTAGTTTTGTACAACTAAAATTTATAAAGAAAAAATATCTCTCAAATATATGGATTATATTATGATTAACATTATAACAATTAAATATGTTTAAATACAAAAAAAAAAAATAATTAGAAAACATTTATGTGGAGATATAAGGTTATTTTTCATTGTTTGGAAATCCAAAAGTTATTAAAAATAAATCTATCAATAAAATCTATAAAAGAAAACATAAAATATGCAATTAAGAAAACCAAATTCACTAATAAAAATATTAGAAAATCTCAAAATATAGATATTACTTTGGGAAATAACATTAGAATTTTAGTTTCATTAGAATAAAAATACAAATAAAATTTTATCCAGTAGGAAGGTTCTCGTATGGACAATAAGAATCAAACTTTTGCTCTTGTGAGACATGAACTTGTTCGTTGCCAAATGAACTTTAATAAACGTTTGGATATATTAAAAATGAGACTAAGTATCTATAAATAGTTTATTACTTTAATAAAAAGATTACAGAATCTACGTTAAATCTTTAATTGAATATCTCATGTGACACTAAAAAGCTAACTAGAAGGGTTAAAAACGTGGTAAATAATAAAAAATTAGGAAAAACCTGCGATTATGATGAAATTATTGTGGAAGAATCAAAGGAAACAGAGTCTGTGAGAAAAAGGAAGAAGGAAAACAGCCACCAATATTCCCGCTATATTGATAGGCCGACAATAGGACAAAATCTGTCACATTAAACATTAAACTTAATCTTAATTTTAACACGAATGACGTCACTAACACCAACTTAACCTGATTTAAAACAACCTTCATTCATTATATTACACTTTAGTTAACATTTTCCAACTTACTTCATTCCCACAGTTACAATCATTATACATTTGTCTGCATTCAATTTTAACAATTCTGCTCTTTTTAGGAAGTTGATTATATTGGTGGATTAAGAAAATAAAGTGTTTCTAAAATGATTACTAATTTAAAATGCTTTAAAATATATTTACGTTATTTATATCGTTTTAACATGTTTTAATTTAAATATAATCTGAAGCACCGTTTTAATAAATTTTAAAATTTAATATTTTTAAATTAAAATAATTATATTTGTGTATTTTTAAAGTTTTGAGACGAAAATGCATCAAATTATTAAATTTATTCTAATTCTGTATATATATTTAAAAAGTATAAACATATTTAGAACTTAAATTAATATGTATGTTTTGATTTGGTTCGTGACTTTTGCTTTTGAAGCAATGATGTTAAGCAAAATCCATGGAAAATTTGGTGTGGAATCTGAGTTGCTCCTCCTCGGTACCATAATAATATGATGTCCACGCAGTGTGTTCCCAAACTGTTCTACATTGTTTCAATTTAATGTAATATAAAAACTGATTCATGAACAGTGGTTGTTCAACTAACTACAGATTCTGTCCCACCATATCATATTCAACTTCTCATTAACATTTAATCATGTGATTACTAAGATCATGCTACGTCACGGTTTTCCGCAACAACCAATTTTAAACTCGGTTGGTCAGATCGATGTAGAGTCAACCGGTTTTAATGGCTTTAAGTCTCTTTATAACATACATTTTTTAAAAGATGTGTTAGTCAAAATTAAATGTTTAAGGAATTTGAAAATGTTCTAGTTGTGTTAATTAACTAACACTAGTTACTTAAAAATATTACTCTGTTTATTCCAGATTATAACAATTTATTATTTTATTTTTTTAAATTATAAATATTTTATCTTTCTAAATACATATATTATTTTGAGTAATTAATTATAAATTAAGAATAAAAATATTATTTTATCATAAAATGAGAAGATCAATTAATTCAAAAGTAAAATAAAAGTTTACCGTAGTCATTTTGCGTATGTGTGTAACATATTTCATCTAGATAAAAGATAAAACTGATAAATGATGATAGAAAAATTATCTGTATTTGGCAAAGTAGGTCTTTTAATAGTTTTTAATTCATTTTAGTAAATTACTTATTTAGTTTTTCGAAATAATCT